ACTCACTATTTGCATATGACATGATATTGTACATAAAAAACCCTAAAGACTCCACTCCGAAACTATCAGAACTAATATCTGAATTCAGCAAAGTTGGAGGATACAAAATTAACACACAGAAATCTGTCGCTTTCCTATACACTAACAATGAAGTAATAGAAAGAGAAATCAGGACAACAATTCCATTCAAAATTGCATCAAAAAGAATAAAATACCTAGGAATAAACCTAACCAAAGAAGTGAAAGACCTATACCCTGAAAACTATAAGACACTCTTAAGAGAAATTAAAGAGGACACTAACAAATGGAAACTCATCCCATGTTCTTGGCTAGGAAGAATTAAAATAGTCAAAATGGCCATCCTGCCCAAACCAATATACCGATTTGATGCAATCCCTATTAAATTACCAACAGCATTCTTCAACGAACTGGAACAAATAGTTCAAAAATTCATATGGAAACACCAAAGACCCCGAATAGCTAAAGCAATCCCGAGAAGGAAGAATAAAGTGGTTGGGGGGGGATCTCACTCCCCAACTTCAAGCTCTACTACAAAGCCATAGTAATCTAGACAGTTTGGTACTGGCACAAAAACAGAGCCGCAGACCAGTGGAACAGAAATAGAGACTCCAGAAATTAACCCAAACATATATGGTCAATTAATACACAATAAGGAGCCATGGACATACAATGGGGAAATGACAGTCTCTTCAACAGATGGTGCTGGCAAAACTGGACAGCTACATGTAAGAGAATGAAACTGGATCACTGTCTAACCCCATACACAAAAATAAATTCGAAATGGATCAAAGACCTGAATGTAAGTCATGAAACCATAGAAGTCCTAGAAAAAAACATAGGCAAAAATCTCTTGGATGTGAACATAAGCGACTTCTTCATGAACATATCTCCCTGGGCAAGGAAAACAAAAGCAAAAATGAACAAGTGGGAGTACATTAAGCTGAATAGCTTCTGTACAGAAAAGGACACCATCAATAGAACAAAAAGGTACCCTACAGTATGGGAGAATATATTCGTAAATGACAGATCTGATAAAGGCTTGATATCCAAAATATATAAAGAGCTCACACACCTCAACAAACAAAAAACAAATAATCCAATTAAAAAATGGGCAGAGGAGATGAGCAGGAAGTTCTCCAAAGAAGAAATTCAGATGGCCAACAGACACATGAAAAGATGCTCCACATCACTAGTTATTGGAGAAATGCAAATTAAAACCACAATGAGATATCATCTCACACCAGTAAGGATGGCTACCATCCAAAATAATAACAACAAATGTTGGTGAGGTTATGGAGAAAGGGGAACCCTCCTACACTGCTGGTGGGAATGTAAATTAGTTCACCCATTGTGGAAAGCAGTATGGAGGTTCCTCAAAATGCTCAGAATAGACATACCATTTGACCCAGGAATTCCACTTCTAGGAATTTACCCTAAGAATGCAGCAGCCCAGTTTGAAAAAGACAGATGCACCCCTATGTTTATTGTAGCACTATTTACAATAGCCACGAAATGGAAGCAACCTAAGTGTCCATCAGCAGATGAATGGATAAAGAAGACGTGGTACATATACACAAGGAATATTATTCAGCCATAAGAAGAAAACAAATCCTACCATTTGCAACATGGATGGAGCTAGAAGGTATTAAGCTCAGTGAAATAAGCTGGGTGGAGAGAGACAAGTACCAAATGATTTCACTCATATGTGGAGTATAAGAACAAAGGAAAAACTGAGGGAAAAAAACAGTAGCAGACTCACAGAACCCAAGAATGGGCTAACAGTTACCAAAGGGAAAGGGACTGGGGAGAATGGGAGGGAAGGGAGGGATAAGGTTGGGGAAGAAGAAAGGGGGTATTAGGATTAGCATGTATAATATGGGGGGGAGGAATGGGGAGGGCTTTGCAACACAGAGAAGACAAGTAATGATTCTACAACATCTTACTATGCTGACGGGCAGTGACTGTAATGGGGTTTGTTGGGGGGAGTTGGTGAAGGGGGGCCCTAGTAAACATAATGTTCTTTATGTAATTGTAGATTAATGATAACAAAATTTGAAAAATTAAATCCAAAAGAAAGCAAGAAAGGAGAGAAAAAGAAACAAAACCATAGTATATATAGAAAGCAAATAAGATGACTAATAAAAATACAAATATAGAGTAATTATATTAAATGTAAATGGACAACACTTTAATTTAAAAGACTAGGCAAAAACATATAGTGCTCATTAAACTAACCTTAACTATAAGAACACAGAGCCATTAACAGGAAGAAGTATACCATGCAAATATCAAAATATTTCTGGTGTAGCTATAGGAGTATCCAACTTAGGTAAACTTAATGGCAAGAACCACTACCAAGATTAAAATGGTGGACTGATAAATCAAACCACTAGGAACATATAGCAATTCTAAAACCTAGTAACTGTGTGTGTGTGTGTGTGTGTGTGTGTGTGTGTGTATGAAACAAAATTTATGAAATTAAAAGGAAAAGCAGAAAAACTTAAAATCATAGTGACTTTACCTCTTAGAATAGCTGGTATAATAAGCAGACAAAAAAATCAATAATGATAGAAAAAATCTAAACACAATTACCAAAATTGACAAAATTAACAAATCAACATAAATGCAACCAACCAAAGAAATTCACTTTTTTCAAGGGTATATGGAACTTTTTCCAAAATTGACCTAACACAGGGTCATGAAGCAAGTCTCAAAAGACTTCCAAGGATTGAAAACTTAAGACTATAGTCTGTGACCACAGTGAAGTTAAGCTCTACATAAATAACAGAAATAGGGAAAAAACCCACAAAATTTCCAACTGCTTGAAAATTAAAGAATACACATCTAAATAATCCCTAGTTGAAACAAGGAATTCCAAAAGAAACAGAAATTAGGAAATATTTTTAACCAAATGTCAATGAAGGTACAAAGTATTAACATTTATTGATCTTTGATGTGGAGAAATATAGGGGAATAAGAGGTCACTGTGATAACCTCCTCTTACATACACATGAGGAAGCAACTGCCCTGAATACAACCAACTCTAAAAATGCCCTGAAAAGTATAGAACAGACCATCTGTACCTGTGAAGAAGAGAGGACCACATGAGAAGGGTAAAGGGGCAGAGCCACAACTGATCAGGACCCAAGCCCTACCCTCATTCCAGCCTACAAGCCAGAAGGAGAAGAATGGGATGGTAAATGGATAAATGTTTAAGGGATAAATGCTCAAGAACCTTGCACACCTGACCCTGGGAATATGCTCCAGGAAGATGACTCCCCATTACATTTGGCTTTGAAGATTAATGGGGCTGGACAACAGGGAAATTTGGAGTATTGTGGGGTGCTGAGACTCTGGTTGCTGTGAAGAAATCATTCTCTGTCACTCCCTAAGAGATCCAACATAGAAGTAGCAGTTTGAAAGATTTGCTAATCTTTGGAAATGAGTTGGAGGTCTAATGAGGTTCTTTCCTGAGGAAAAAGGGAAGAAAGAGGACACTTTTCCAGGATCCTCCCAAGGAGCTACATGCTTGTGAGAACCAGCTTTGAAACCCATTGGCCCACTGGCTCAGCCCTGGCACTAGTCCTGCAGACCTGGCCCACCAAACATATTCAGTCCAGCAGTAGTCAGCCACTGCAGATAGGCAGAGGGTGACCCCACCCTCAACACATCCCAGCAGAAATGACAGGCATCACACAAAGAGCACACAGAGACTAGTAGTGGGGATCCACCATTATTGGCAGAAGACATAAAGAAGACAGCAGTAGTAATCCACTCTTTCTGATGACAGGCAAAAGAGTGGGCCCCACCCACAGTCCACCAACAGCAGCCATGGCTCATCCACAATAGAGAACTGGGTTCTGGTGAGCAGGGGGTTTTGTACTTTTGGGTACCACAGGATACCTACTACTTAAAGCCACTACTTTCAAGACCAGAAGACATAGCTGATCTATCTAATACCCAGAAACCTAAAGTCAATAATGAACATAACAAAAAGAAAAATAAAGAAAGGAATCCAAGTATAACACTAAAGAAAGTAATCAAATAACAAGGGAAGAGAGCAAAAGAGGAAAAAAGGAGCAGAGAGGAATCACAAAAACAACCAGAAAACAATTAACAAAATAGCAGTAAGTACATTCCCATCAATAATTACTTTAAATGTGAATGGACTAAGTAAACCAATCAAAAGACATAGGGTGGCTAAATGGATAGAGAAACAAGACCCATCTATATGCTGCCTACAAAAGACTCATTTCAGATATAAAGACATCAACAGACTGAAAGTGAAGGAATAGAAGAAGATATTCCACAGAAATAGAAAAGGAAAAAAATGCAGGAGTAGCAATACTTATATCAGACAAATAGACTTCAAAACAAAGAATGTAACAAGAAATAAAGAAGAGCATTACACAATGATAAAGAGATAGGTCCAAAAGAGATAAAACAATTGTAAATATTTATACACTCAACACAGGAGCCCCTAAGCATAAAAAACAAATATTAACAGACATAAAGAGAGAAAATGAGAGTAACAATAATAGTAGGGGACTTAACACCTATCAATGGATATATCATCCAGACACAAAATAAAGGAGAGAGGGGCATTGAATGACATTTTAGACCAGATGGACTTAACAGATATATACAGAACATTCTACCCAAAAGCAGCAGACTACCGCTTTTTCTCAAGTGCACATGAAACATTCTCCAGAATAGATAACATGCTAGGACAAAAAACATGTCTTAGTAAATTTCAGAAGAGTGAAATTGTATCAAGCATCTTTTCAGACCACTGTGGTATGAAACTACAAATTAATTTTNCAGTGTAAGGGCTTTTAAAAATCTCTACAGCAGATGGTCTCAATGAAGGACTCTTGTTCAACATGCTGTAATGTTTAAAAAGAAGATTATTTTCCAAATGAACTAAAATAGAAATACGATTTAAAATAATTTCTGTGGCAATGTATTTATTTCCATACCATTCCATTATGGCATTCAATTCTCTTGGGTATCTCTCTGGGAGAGAAGGCGTGTCACCTTCAACAATTTTTAAAACAATGGACAAGAAATTGGATCCAGTGAATGCATGATTCATGCAGCACATCTCATATAAAATGCATGCCAAAGACCTGAAAACAAAGTCCAAGAATTTAAGTAAGAACAGCTATCCTACTGTAATCTGACCATCACACTAAACCTCCAGTGTGTCGGGGTATTACTGTGAGACAGTAATAATAACTAACATACATTTTAGGTGTTCATTCAAAAGCTTCAGTTCCAAACTTTCTTTTCCATTTAAATAAATGTCTACTAAATAAATAGTAGAAAAATAAAAAAAGAAACTGCAACATCTAGGTCAAATGACTGCTTTTTCACAGAGGAGAACAAACAAACCAAAAGCATTATGCCTGCATGATAGGGACTTGGTAGATACTTGATCAGTGTAGTAAGGAATGTTTGAATTAACCTGTGAAGGCAAAATAAAATGTAGCTAAACATTGTCCTTTCTTAAGGCAATTTTCTTAATGTTATGTATGAAAATAACATTTTATCTTTGTGTATCCAAGCATTTTATAAAGGAAACTGACATTCTTTATTAGTTTTAGGAATAGAATCCATTTGTAAGTAGGATGGAAGGGCAGTTACTTGGAGCTCACACTAAAATGCATAATTCTCCCTGGGGGAACATGAAACAAAGTACTAAAATTCTAGAGCAGTATACCACTGATTTGGATTAATCATGCAAATCTGTTAATCTCTCAACCAGCAGAATAATCTCTTAAATAACTCTATGTCATTATAAAAATGAAGGGGGAAATTGCTGCCTCAACTTAGTATTAAGAAAGAACTGTTCCCCTGAAGTATTTTTAATCCTATGGGTATTTGGAATTAGGTGATTGGCCAGGTCTCCCTTTTCAACTTAGGTGCTTGGAAGATCATAAATTAAATTTAAGACTGACTGAGCATAGGTTCAGTTTAATTTTAACACTGTCTTACTTTCTCATAAAAGGCAGCATATATATAAACACACACATGAGTACTATCATCTTGGCTATTTTGTGAGTGTTCATGAAAATGCACATTTGTAAGAGAATTCTGGATATATATACTGTTTCTGTTCCAGTAAATAATTAAAACACTTAAGATTTCCAACCGATTGGTATTTCATATATTACAAAGCATTTTTATATATGTCTCAACAGAGAATCATAACTTCCAGTGAAAGAGAGACAATATTATATTATTCCAATTTTATATATGAGGAAACTGGCTCAGACTCAGAGAAGTTAAATGACTTGACTACAGTTTCAAGATAATTTCTTTCCATATTCTGGACTATTTATCTTATAGAATGCTAGAATGAAGGGCAATTTGGAGAGAAATCCTTGACTAGAACACTAAGATCCAATGTAAACATTGTAAATTATTTGAAAATCAATAAATTTTGCATTCATCTGTGAAATTTACATGATGTAGCAGCACATATTTTAATTTCAATAGCAGAAGAAAAATTTCCTTCAATTAAGGTGAAAACAAAGGTATTTTTAGACAGACAAAAACTTGGAGAATTCATTGGCAGCAAGATAACACTAAAAAAAAAAAATCCCAAAAGGGAGTTCTTCCAATAGAAGAAAAATGATGCCAGACAAAAACAAGGAATGCAAGAAGGTTCAAAGAGCACTAGAAAGAGTAATTCAGTGAATACATGTAAGTCAATATTAACTCTATAAAATAATAGTAACAATATATAGTAGGGTTTAAAAATTACATAGAATAAAATTTCATGA